GTGACAGCATGCGCTATGCCATCTTGATGTAAAAAAATAAAAAAGAAGAAGAAGAAAATCAATTTAAGTTAATTATAACAATTGTAGCAGATCTTGTTTTTGCAGCAGTGTACTAATTTGCATGGAAGGAAAAGAGATAGCCAACTTTTAGATGGTGATCCATGTAAAAATGTTTCCCATAATTTTATCAATGATATGTTGGTGAAGTAATACTACATATATTATATATATCATGTATGAATTGAGATTTAATTTTTTTCTTCATTATTATTATTATTTTTTATTGTTTTAAATTTTTAGAATTGCATTCATAATTTAGTAAAAAAAAGCCACGAGTCACAAAGGATCGTTACAATAACGAAGCGATCTAACATCAAAATTAAGACAATTTATTGCCTCCACTAACAATCACTTACGATTAAAGAAACTCTGAAATACGCATTTCAATTAAGATTGTTTGAATATTTTATTTAATAACTTAAAGAAAGTAATAAAGGCACTTTGTTGTCTGCAGTACACTTGTACTGGTAATTACTTAGTGTGGAGGAGGAAAGGACAACTTTTGGCATATAATCAAACATTCTGTTCAGTCATTTTTGTAAAAGTACAAGGTTTTTTTTTTTTTTTTTTTTTTTTTTTTTTTTTTTTTTTTTTTTTTTTTTTTTTTTTTTTTTTTTTTTTTTTTTTTTTTTTTTTTTTTTTTTTTTTTTTTTTTTTTTTTTTTTTTTTTTTTTTTTTTTTTTTTTTTTTTTTTTTTTTTTTTTTTTTTTTTTTTTTTTTTTTTTTTTTTTTTTTTTTTTTTTTTTTTTTTTTTTTTTTTTTTTTTTTTTTTTTTTTTTTTTTTTTTTTTTTCTATCTCCTTCTGTTAAGTGGTTGGCTAACATCACATGGTATTAGAACTCTGGTCATGGAGGTGGAGTTTGAGATCAAATGAAACCCTTCAATCCTCAACACTACTTATTTGGTAAATTTGCAGGGTGTATATTGTAAAGAAAAAGAAAGAGCAAAATAAGTTATGGAAAATTTTGTATATATGAACATAAAAGAAAAAGGAAGAATACTTATTATAAAAAAAAGAAAAAAAGGGATCAATGCTTTACATACAAAACAAACCAAACGACCAGGTGGAAAAGCAACATGATCCTTCACCCAACCCATCAATTTTTGGTCCAACACATGGGAATAAATTCCATCGTTTACCTTCATGAACCCATACCTACCTACTGCTATCCACAAAACCTTGTTTTTTTTAGTCCCTTTCTATTGAGAGATCTCTCAAGTACTAAAATTTCAATAATTCAATTGAGTGGTCAAATGATATCGGATTCAAGTGATTTTTAAATGAATATCTACAAAATAGACGGTTTAGATTAGTGAAATACAATACAATACAATACGGAGTGGGCCCTATAAGAGCCTCTCTCAATTGAAACTTACTCTACATATATAATATTTATATATTGGCAAGAGTTGAATGAAATAAATACAAGGTTACGAGGATTTAGTAATGATGAGGGGAGCATATAAAATTGCGTTGAAGTTACCAATTAAGAAGAGAGTAAGAATGTGGCTTGGGTTTTCTCCATAAAATTTAGTGGGAAACAAGGATAGAGTCAACTGCTGCCAACTTCTGCACGTAATTTGCTAGTCTTGATGGGAAGTGGGAACTTATGTGTACTAGTAGTGCACTGGCGGTCACTGCTCCTTCCCTTAAGTGGTTGGCTAACATCACATGGTATTAGAACTCTGGTCATGGAGGTGGAGTTTGAGATCAAATGAAACCCTTCAATCCTCAACACTACTTATTTGGTAAATTTGCAGGGTGTATATTGTAAAGAAAAAGAAAGAGCAAAATAAGTTATGGAAAATTTTGTATATATGAACATAAAAGAAAAAGGAAGAATACTTATTATAAAAAAAAGAAAAAAAGGGATCAATGCTTTACATACAAAACAAACCAAACGACCAGGTGGAAAAGCAACATGATCCTTCACCCAACCCATCAATTTTTGGTCCAACACATGGGAATAAATTCCATCGTTTACCTTCATGAACCCATACCTACCTACTGCTATCCACAAAACCTTGTTTTTTTTAGTCCCTTTCTATTGAGAGATCTCTCAAGTACTAAAATTTCAATAATTCAATTGAGTGGTCAAATGATATCGGATTCAAGTGATTTTTAAATGAATATCTACAAAATAGACGGTTTAGATTAGTGAAATACAATACAATACAATACGGAGTGGGCCCTATAAGAGCCTCTCTCAATTGAAACTTACTCTACATATATAATATTTATATATTGGCAAGAGTTGAATGAAATAAATACAAGGTTACGAGGATTTAGTAATGATGAGGGGAGCATATAAAATTGCGTTGAAGTTACCAATTAAGAAGAGAGTAAGAATGTGGCTTGGGTTTTCTCCATAAAATTTAGTGGGAAACAAGGATAGAGTCAACTGCTGCCAACTTCTGCACGTAATTTGCTAGTCTTGATGGGAAGTGGGAACTTATGTGTACTAGTAGTGCACTGGCGGTCACTGCCATCCCTACAATCTAGTATAACTTAAATCATTTGTTTTAAGATTTTTTTATATTTTCCTTTCTCTGATCATTCCATTTTATTCACAGCCACAAAAAAACATGCAGCCACTATCATTTTATTTTAGGGAGTTTCACTAAAACATCCAAAATGGGAGCTGAAATTATAAAAAAACTCAACACCCAAAACACTTTATAAACACACCCAAAACCCATCATTACACACACTCAAAACCCATTTATAAACACACCCAAAAAATATACAATTGTTGACTTTGGGGTTGATTTTGGGTGTGTTTCTATGTTTAAATAGTGTTTGGGTTTTTTTATAAATACATGTCTAGAATTGGGTTTAGTTATAAATTTGTATTTATTTTAATGTGTATGTGGGTATTTATATATATATGATGGCCGGATGATGTCTTCTTGTCAGATATATTTGTTGTGGAAATTTTAATATGAACTACATATTTAAACAGTAATTCATTTTACTAATGTTTCATATTTGAGTTTTTTTTATTTAAATCCGGTACTTTTTTGTTTGTTTATTATATATTCTAAGTTTACCCCAATTTTTAATTCAAATTTTCATAATTTTTAAGAAAACCCCACTATCTTCCCAAACTATCTCTAAAGATACACCCAGTAGAAAAAATAAATAAATAAAAAACTCTTCAACCTCACATTACTTAAAGAGATAAAAACAATGTTGTCAAATGTGTAGCAACATTATTTTATTATTTAGCGTTTGTTTGTGAAGAGAAGATGATAGTGTAGTAGGTTTTTTGGATTGAAAGAGAAGAGTAATATGGCAATAGAGTGTAGAGGAGTTTGTGTTTTTCTAAAACTTAATATGAAGAGTGGTGAGGTGTGTGTATAGATGTACATGTTAAGTATTAAGTTGGATGATCTTTTTTTGTCTTTTTACATATTGGGGTGAACAAAGAAAAGTGTGAGATTTAAATAGAAAAACTTTTCAGATTTTAGTACTTAACATTTATGGAAACATATCTGAGTATGATAGTGATACTGCGTTATTAATTCATGTATTATTACATAAGTGAATTGGTATATCACATTACAACGCAACCATCATCACGAAAATCTTGTAGTGTTGATGGTGAAATCTGGTTGAAGTATATATGCTTGGTATAGGTCTAGCTAGGCGATCACTAACTAGAAAATCTTGTCGAACACAACAATGTCTAGTTGGAGTGATACTTTTGGTATCGGCCAATGACCCTTCGATGCTTAAAACAATACAACGATTACATAGGCATGACATTTTTGTTTGTCAATCGATCCACATGTTTAAAAAGAGAAAGCATGTAGAGGAACCAAAGCTAATGCTGAAGGTAACTATCAAAGAAAGATACGATCGTTAATAATCACCAAATAGAAAAGAAAAAGAAAAATTAACATGCAATGCAACTAAAGTACTTTCCAATGCCCTTTAAATTTATCTTATCTTTTGCTTAATGAACACGATTTTAAGGTGCTAAGAGCTCCAATCATCTCACAGCTTGTTCACACTTTTTATGCACACTGAAAACGACATGAGAATAAAGTAGATTATCAAGGAATGATGGAAATAATTGAGTCTCGACAGTGACTAATTAAGCTACTTGCACTTGATGGAAAATACAGTAAGGCAAGCCAGTTTTTTCTTTTTGCTTGTAATCAAATTTTTACTTTTCCCGGTGGCATCAAAGATTATGATGTTGTTGCCTCGTTGACATTTTTGTCTTTCTGAATTGTACAAGCACCTGCCGACACTTCGATTAGTTGGTTTTGGCTCTGATTTAATCATTGCTACTGTATCTCAGTATCAGTATGTGATATGATTCGACTTCAAATCCTCCATATGAGCAGCCAAATCAAATTTAAAAACCAATACTTTAATTATAAAAGTGGTGGAAGATTCTGGTGTTAATTGTTGAAGAACATAAAGTCCCAGATCAGAAATTTGACTAAATGAAATACAATATATAATGAATGATACCACTACTAATATCACGCATTTTGTGATCAAAACCCACATTTATTAGACTCAGTAGGTGGTTGAGTTGGGGGACAATATCGGTGTTGATTTGTTTGGTCCAATCAACAAGTGCTTTGCCCAACATTCCACTATACATGTAGTTGTGTGTGAACTCAGATTTCTGCTTATGTTTTGCATACTGAGCTAAAAGATTGTTGGCTGGCTATACTGTGCTTTCATGATTTTCAGATCCTTGGCAATTTTCTCAATAGATTAGTTGGATCGCATAATTAATTTTTGTAACCACTTTAAAAATCTTGCAGAAACTTTAGATATTATTGATGATGGATGATGATTTACATATACAATTACAAAAGATTAGGACAAATATATCAGTCCTGCATGATCTAACTTGGCAAAATCTAGGAGTATAATGTTCTCTAAGCTCTTAGCAGTAAATGGTAAAGCAATTACATCAAAAACAGACAGTTGATCGAGGAGAGCGACTGCGGAGATTATATCTTCCAGTACACGAAGTGATTGCATATAAATTATCTCCAACTTCTTCTTGCAGATGGTTGGGATCCTTCAAGTTCTCAAAGCCATCCGGTACATCTTTGTCAACAAATGTAGACCAATCGGATTCATCATCTGATTCCCATTCCAACTTTGCGTTTTGTCGTAAGCTCATAACCTCCTCTGTTAGAACTTGTAGCATATCGTGGTTCAGCCTTCCATAGTCCCTGAAAATTTCAAACACATACATGTTAAATGCAAATCATAAAAGCAAAAACAGAGAGAAAGAAAAAAGTAATTTCATTCTTTACCGAGATCTTTTTCACTTACTTGTATCTGATATAAGCAACTATTATTCGAACTGAGGCATACAGCGCAAAGAAGTTCCTCAATATATTGACCCACCGAGTCTGTTGCTCTATTCCATTTGTTGTAAATCTCAGGACTGCAAGTTCAAGCAGAAATATAATCGATAGACCAATGTATAGCTCACATCTCACAGTGGAAGTTTGCTTTGTGCTGGTGGACATGTAGAGGACAAACATTGACATGGCATAAATGAAGAAGGCTTTCATTGACCGTGATTCGAGCAACAAGGCGTTGTGCAAGGCGAATAGCCTGTCCAAAGCAACAAACATGGTTGCCTGCTTCTGCTCAAAAGCTTCCTGTACACATATAAAAGAGAGTGTTTTTATGAGGATCATGAAGTTATTAAAGACTGAATTAGTTAGAATGCAGCATAAAGAAACAGTTACCTGAGCTGACAATATGGATTTTGAATTTTCGACTAGGTGGTTGTGTGCTTTTTGAATCTGGTCCTGTCGTTGAAGAAGCTCTTCTTGTTGTTCACGGCCAAATGTAGCAAACTGTTGCAAAATAACCCTGCATTTTTAAAACAGAATGTTAATAACGTACAGCTTGATAGATGTTTTGAAATTATTTTTACTAACATGGCAATTGCAATGTGTCTTACCTGCTCTCTTCTAGAGCTTGGGATTGAAACTTACTTAGTGACTCAAGGCCATCAAGAGCTTCAGATTGCCCATGTAGAAGTTCCTTTTGCTTTTTCAAGGAAATCTCTGCTACATTCCCAATATCATCAGCCTTGCTTTGCAGCTTGCTCATCTTTGTAGACATGGCTTCTCCAACTATGCCTATCTTCTTCTCTATTTCAACAGTCTCATCCTGTAAGCTGTGTATTCCTTTACCTAGAACATGGTAAGACTCATGAACCATTGCCATCCCCTCTTCCAATTTTTCCTTCATTTTGTCCTGCCCCATCTGCAACTCTAACTGAGAGGCTGCAATTTTCTCAGATTGCTCAAACATCACCTCTGACTGCTTCATTATGCCACCAATTTGATCACTCACATTCTTGGAAGTCTGAGCCACTTCTTGTGTTTGTTCGTCGATTGAATTCAAAGACTCGTGGATATATTTGGAGCCCTCCAGCAATTTCTCTGATTTCTCTCCTATGGTTTCTAATTTCTCCTCTGCATAATCAGATGACTTTACCAATTCATTCACCAACTTCTCTGTTTGACGCCGGAATATATCAGACCTGCAAAAAGAAAAGAAAACACACAACCAAATTCAAGTTAAGATTAATATTCTTCATGTTTTAACACTTATTAGGTCAAAGAGAAAAAAATTATACTCAACTGTAACTGATGGCAAATGGAGTTGGTTTCCAGATAGAATTCGCGATACGCATGAATTGCATTGTTGTCCAATTTTTCAAGGCAAGCTTTCATGGGAGAGCCTGCAGGGCATCTAGGAAAAGGGGGTCTGCCAGAGTCCTTTTGAAAGCAATTGCTAAGATCCCAAGCAAATCTCTTCCTCTTGTCATTGTCGTCGGCGGCAATCTCAGAACATGCTGCAAATATTCCTTGGTAAGCATCGTGCCAACAAGAGTTAGAGCCAACCAGTTTTCTTCTAGCGTTGTTGAGTCGCTCAATCCCCCTTTCATCATTGAGAGCATCCGTGGAGAATTCAGCAGCAACATCACCAGATATTTGCAGATTTTGTGCAGGGTTATGGCCGGCCTGGCCAGAAGAAGAAGACCAAAACCATGACATACAAGACCTTGACAGAGTTAAGAAGATCAACAGGAAAAGAAGAGACTTAGGTTGGCCCATTTGAGTTTCTTTCCTAGCAAAAGATGTTCTTCAACTTTCACAGTCAATCACCAATGTTCAGTAACCTGCATTACAAAATCCAAATAAGACAATCATTAAAAAGTTCCACTACATGCATATACACAATCAGTACCAGAGAATAACATAACCTTTACGGCGCTTGCTAGAAATAGAAACTAATCGAGAGATTTCGATAAAATTGGCAGAGTTGGGAAAAAAGAAAAATCAATGAATTCCTTATTTAGAGTGCATTGAAAGAGAGCAAGAAAAGAAAAAAAACCAATGCAGATAAACAAAGGTACCATAAATTTATTTCTCATAATTGTGTCTAGAATTTTGTTTATATATATAATATACCATAAAAAAAAAAATCATCTTGGCCTTCCATTCACCAGAAATTTACTTATATATACTAATTAATCCAGGCCTCCTTGATTAACTTTTTTTTTTCCTTGAATTGACATCCTATTTGTATATTCCTCTGCCTTTTCAGGTTTTTACAAGAACAATGCACATGCCCTCCAAAGTAGATAAATAATTATACGAAAAAAATAGAATAAAGATTACAAAATTTCACCTTCTCACACAGCTATAATTAAAAAAGAAAAAAGAAAAAAAAATTCTCTGGTAAAAGTTCACATAGCTTTCAATATAACCATATGAACACAAACAAGAACATTAACAGAGAAAATGAAATTAAGAAGAAACACAAAGACAGAAACTTAGAGAGAGAGGGGGAGAGAGAGGGAGAGGGAGAGAGAGGCCTTACTTGGAGAATGCTAAGAGGAGTCGCTGTGGTTTTGTGATGAAGTGCTCTGTTTGTGTGTTTGTATTGGACTGTTGGGTTGTTCATGCAATAAGGTGGTGACTTTGAGAGAAAGAAACGGCCTCCAAGCGTATTTATAAGAGGGAGACGATGCTGCCGTTTTGGAAACGAAACATGAACAAAACAAAAGGAAAAAGGCCAGAAGAACAACCAAAACATCCAATAGGCAATTGCCACGTAGTTCTAGATCGACACTCCTTATTCCCTTGGGAAAATATTGCACCGTTGGCCCATTTGAACTAGGAAGTCCACCGACCCCAATTAATTAAGAGTTTTCCTATGTGTGCAAGGGCTTCTCAATGGGCCTAAAATTTGATCCACATATCCAAAAGTCCGCATAATACTATTTATAAAAAATAAAAATAAAAAAATTAAAGAAAAACCATTACAAATAATCTGACATAATTTTTGTTTTAATTTCTTTAAAATTTAAAAATTTATTTTCTTTTTAAAACTTGAAACATAGTCCTTTAGGCATTTCATGACAAAAAATGGGGAGAATTATATGTGTGTTAAACTAGTTTTCTTTTTAATGGTAATTTTTTGTTGTTGTTGCCAAAGTTAATAAGGGAGAGGGATGATTTCTCGCACACACATACAAACAGGGTATCAGGGGGGTTCGAAACTAAGACCACTAGTCTGCAAGGTAAAGTCCTTTTCAACTAGGTTACAATCCGTTGACTTTTTCATGGTAATTTGACCTTATGTTTTTATCTTACACTTTGCACTTCATACCACACGTGGTTCATTGGTATATTAGTGTTTATGAGCTTTCCGTTTGAAGTTTTTCATCGAAGCTTCATTGGATATTGAGTCTGAAGTTTGTTTTATCAGTTGACTTGACTTGACTTGACTTGTTTTTCTTTTCAATGAGGTTTTTGTACTAAAAGGGGAGATTGTTAATGTAATATTTTTAATTGGCATTAGGGTGGTTTAGATTGAGGCATGAGTCTGGGTTAATAACGAGGGTCATGAAGAAGAGGGAACTTATTGCAATGCATAAAATAAAGATCAATCCAATTTGAACTTAGAACACTTTCCATTATGTACCTAAAAGGGCAAATACACAGGCAATCTATCTAGAGAGAACATTAGCAGGATTTCTTCTACTTCTCAGACTAAAAGGATTGGTAGCACAAGAAAGAGGATTTGCCACTCGAGTAAACTGAGGCTTCACATAAGCACATTGAGAGGTAAGAGGCCCTTTGTCTCCACTGTAAGTGATATCAATATCTTCCAACCCTACATTCTGGCATGGTAATTTTCTACTGCACATAAGCTGTACAGCAACTGGTGTGGCAGAAGTGCCCTTAATGTTGACGAAGCTGACGCTGCTGATCTGGACTGTAGATGGAGCCTTCTGTGCACACTGGCTATATGGGCAATACTGTTGGTCAATGAAGATAGGGTTTCCTACATTGACCATGGCAATATCTTGAAAGTGAATATGTGTGGCAGTGCCAAATGCAGGGGAGCCAGGCCATGTTTTGATTCTCAGACCATTTTGTGTGTTAGTCAGGGTGCAGTTCTTGACTAGTACTCCGGCCACGGGGACTTCGCTTTGGTATTTTCCTAGACTTCCGATGCTTATACCGTGGCCTGGTCCACAAGTAACGTTGGTCACGATGATTCGCTGGCTTCCGTCACCAAGAGAGATGCAATCATCCCCTGTGCCGATGGTTGTGTGGTCGATGGTGATACCATATGAGCGCCCGATATGAATTCCATCCGTGTTTGCGCTATCTTCAGGCGCTGTGATGGTGACATATTGGAATGTGACATTGCGACATCCAAAAACATTGATGTGGAAGTGTTTGCTGTCAAGAGAAGTTATGTCACGAATCATGGCATTCGTGACGAAATCCAACCTCAGATTCTGCATTAGGCAAACAGAACAAGCATTAGAATTTAGAAACATGTATTTATAAATTGTAATGGTATCGAAGATATAAATAACAGCAAGGATTGATCGAAACAACTTACAATAGCATCAGTAGCTTTGCAGTATTTGTTTTTATAGCAATTGTTTTGGCCATCAAAACTTCCACCGCCATATAAGGTGAGCCTGTCCACGTATTGAAAACCAACCCAAGTATCCTGCTTTGTGAGATATTTGCTGTCCAATGGAGCCTTGAGGTTGCCTTGAACTTGAACCTCAATAGGAGCCTTGCAAGGACCTTGCAAAATTGCTCCTCTCAAATTATATGTCCCCTTTGGAATAACAACTTTAGTTGGCCATGTTGATGCACAAGCATCTCTCCAAGCATTGGCCAAAGCCTGGGTAATGTCAGAGTTTGGCTTTCCTCCATATGCTGCACTTGTCACATCGAAGACACTGGATTGTACTTTAGCTATAGAAGCTAACAATAAGAACACAAATATCCAATCGCCAGCTGCATAAACCAGAAAAAATTAAAAATAAACATTATATCACTTTCAGAAAATCTGTGTCATGTGTGTGCTGTGCCTACTCATTCATCTTATTGAAAACTTTGACATAAAACTTTGATTTCTTTGTCAAACGAAGTGTATGGGAATTCTCAGATATATTCAGATACGCTCATATGTATATTCTTCTCCAATAAGAACTCACCAACATTCTTTGCATTGACATATTGGTGAAAAGAAAAAAGAATATAAGGCTAGGCTGACATACCCATTAGCTTAGAGCGAGACGAGATTGTGCTTCCTTGAGAATGCCAAGTAGATGCCTATCTGAATTGCTTTGTAACTGTGGACTGTTGGGTTCGTGTGAGGTGGTAGTTTGAGAGAAACAAACTGCTGCTACTTATAAGAGATTCTTTTTTGTTTGTTTCTATTATCTTAACTTTTTTGAATCTGGAATGCTATGGCATTATGAAAAGGGTTAGATAAGAGCAACAACAAAAAAAACACCCTTAATTTGAATATTTCCCTTTCTGAAAAACAAAAAGAGGGTAAGCATTATTTCTTTTCTCGCAAGAAATCTATTTAATGGGAAGCTAGGATTTAGGGTTCCGTGACTAAATAGGTTTCTTGCGAGAAGGCTTGTAGTTTCAAGCCGGTCCACTTTTTAATGCCTTATCATTTTAATAACAAAATTATTCCATTATTTTGATAACAAGATCATTGTCATGTTTTAACTTTTATTTTAAAGGTATGCAAGCTCTACTACCATCCTTGTGATTTGGGCATCCATTGACAATCATCGGAACAATGAAAAAACCTACTATGAAAAAAAAGAAAAGTTTGATGAATTAACACATCAACCACAGTGCTAACAAAACAACAAAAATAATGTAGAATTGTAATCATGTTACTCGAACTAATTGAAAGTTTGTGTGCTTTTAAATTGAAAATAGAACAAGAATGAGAGATTATACATGTTATTGGCTGACAATGACACGAGTTTCGGATGTCACTTCTAGAGAGTGACATGTGAATTACATATTTTAGTTTTCAAGAAAAAAATTATTTCAATTTAAATCCTTAATGGGGCACAAATCTATAGTTAGGGAGAACAAATGAACTAGTAATAAGAAAGAAAGATACTTTTTAATTGTGCAAGCCAATAACAACTATCATGAAATCAAACACAACATAGACCGTAGACACAAGGAAATATGAAAAAATAATTAGAATTATTAACGCATGTTTTGGGTTCTACCAAGCAAGCAAAGCATCATTAGTGAATAAAAGATAGTGTTATTTCTCTTTTCAAGATCTTGTTTGCTTTTGTAAACTTGAAAATCAAACACTAGGTATATTACTTGGGGAGTATTTTCGCTCATCACTTTAACCCAAGGTGTATGCTCACCACTCTTCTCAACACCTGACACGTGTTCATAAGCATAACCATGGTTACATAAATCAAAGAAAAAAGTTAACCATGATTATGCCTATGAACACGTGTCAAGTATTAAGAATGGTGGTGAACATACATCTTGGATTAAAGTGGTGAGCAAAAATAACTTGAACTATGACCAAACACTAGTAAACCTACCTATTTCAAACCGTGAAATATGGAATTCAGACTTAAGTTTGGCTAGTAATGTTTCTCTTCTTATCAAGCAAAACAATAAATTTGGAGAAGCTAATCAATGAAATCAGACTTGAATTGAATGGAGATAACTTTTTAGACCAAAAAGAAAAAGGAGAAGAACCAATTTTATAGATTGGAGAGATGAGCGCTGAT